AACATTTAACTGACTGCACTTTTTTCAGTCTCAGTTTAGGTCATTTATGTCCTTACTGCGAATCACTGAAAGGCAAAGCTGGCTTTTATCGCTCTGATGTTACGCACATCATGCAGCACAGATTCATCTCTGATCACAAGACTCATATTTCAAAATAAAAGCGAGCTAAGGCTTGAAAAGAGGACGACGATTTATGACAATCGCAGCGAAAAGAGCAACGAAAGGATTTAAAACTTGATGAAAATGTTTTTTCTCACTGAAAACTAGCAAATCCTAATAAACAGCATGACTGGCCCTCTGCTGTGAGGGGGCTTCAGTGGAGATGACTTCTGCTACAGCGACCTTCCTGCTACAGGATGGTCACATGATAACGATCAACGTTATGACAAAAATAAATAAATGTTGAAGAAACAAAGACAAAACTGATCGGTGGTAAGGATGAACTCATTTGAAACCTCAAGCTAACGGCCATTTTTTTCTTCTCATTACAAACTGCACCTGTTGTCTTTTGTCATCACAAAATAAGCATATCATTCATTCACTCCAAAAAACCCCAAAAAACAAAACATAAAATAAACAAGAAACTTAATATTTACAAATATTTTGTCTGTTTTTTTTCTTACACTTAAAAATGTACAGTTCTGATCTTCCAGATGTTTCGTCTCCATCCGTCTCCCAGTTTGGTATTTTCTTCTCTGTCCAGTGACCTCAGAGTGAGCGCTGAATGTGCCACAATGGCGCCCTCTAGTGTTAGCTTATAAAACAGACAAGGAGAAAGAACAGAGCCGAATGAAAGGACTCGTTTGTGTTCTGTCCTCTGCTGTAGCTGTGTGGTGCTGAGGTAACTACACAACCCCTCGCCGCCTCCTTATACACAGGAGTGAGTACAAAAGGGTTCGTACGGACGCATCAGCCGGCCGTCCTTCTGCTCGACACTGTTAGCTGAAAGATGATCGGATCATCCTCTGTCCTGTATTTAAGGCTGAGAGTCTTTGTCCAGTCTCTTTTCCACAGCTACTGTCCACAGCACTGATCCACCTGCAGCACAGCCCCAGTCAGTTGTTTTATGATTTACATTGTGCACGTTTCCCTTCCAGTGAGCTTACAAAACCTCTGACAGGAGAAGTCAGGCATGTGTTTCCCCCACCTCCCCTTTTAGGCAGTAATAAAATAGAAAACAAACAATCAAACAGGCTAAAGCTAGAGCACAAGCAAAGACAGCACCGGTGACTAAGTTCTCCCATACTGGACGTACGCTACCACGTGGGCTCAAACAGCAGCACATCAGCTCAGTTTACATACTGTTGACATCTTCATCAGAGGATCAGCAGGGAGCGCTGCTGAGCTGCAGTCGTCTCCACCAGAGTGACGGAGCAGGAATCACAAACAGCACAAACCCACCGTGTTGTTTCTTCCCTGTTCAGGAGATCTGAGCCCCCATCCCTTTTTTTCATGTTGCAGCTCTGCACTGCAGGCCCTGAACGCCTCCCGGTTACCCTCAGTGTGCTTAGAGTTTAATTTACAACCGACGAGCTCACAGATCATCTGCAGGCAGGTGAACGAACCCTTAATGTGAGGATAATAGCAGAGCTGACCTGAGGTCAGAAATGGTCAGGAACGGTGTCGACACAGTGAAGTCAGGTGTTTGGGAATTTGTCTGATTATCAGTTTGGGGGGGTCGGTGTTAAATAACAAAGGTGGTGTAGGATGGAGAGAGGAGGAGGGAGGGAGCAGTGATGATATGGAGGAAGGTGATTGGTTAAGCAGCAGGAAGGAGCTCATGCTGGAGTCTGAGTTTTTACTGTTGGCCTTTTTCTGCTTTTTGTTTATTGTTGTCTGACGCGGGCCCGTCTACGCTTGAGTGATGCAGATGTGATATCACACTCACACAGCGACAGCAGCACACACACACACACACACACACACACACACACACACACACACACACACACACACACACACACACACACACACACACACAAGTCAGAATACACATGTGCCAGACACAAGGGGGTCAGACAGGAGCAGCATCAGTCTCTGCTCTGTTTTGTTAATAACGTAGAAAAATAATTTTGTACAATCAAGCTACATCGACGGACGCTTTACCTCACGTACCCTAAAATGAAAAAGTAGTGACAGTAAGATGAAGGCTGCACATGACACCATGACTGAGTTCACAGCTGTTGCTTTGATTCTAACGTTTAAGACTTTTGGCATCGACTCCGTTTTAATAAATGAGTGCTGGGAGGCGTCGTTTGACTTCAGGAGCTCCTGCGATGCTCTTACTCTGCGGGAGAAAACCAAAAACCAAAAGTAGCAAACATGGAGCGATATGACTCGTTTAGATTTTGGGAAACGTGCATCGACAGGTACAGTGTCCTTTTCCCCGCGTCTTTAAAGCTGCCAACTCTGCCTCAGCTTTCATACGAACAGATGAAGTTGAAGATCTTGAAGAAGTTTTGTGGCTTTCAACATTTGAAACTGCAAGAAACTCCATTCCGGGTTTCTCTGAGGCGTGGGCTTTCATCATCAGAGTTCATCCTTTAACCTATAACAATTAAAATATTCTCAAGTATGATCAACGGTTAATTACAGCACCGGCCGGAGTACCGGGAGCAGTTTGGAAGAACAAAAAGACGCGGAGACTGTTCTAAATTGTCATCCCAAACTAACTCAAAGTTTATTCTTTGTGCAGCAGTTTTTATAGGCAGACAACAAGTTTCAGTTCAGACCCTGCCCACTGGGTGGGGTGGTGTCCTTCGACAGTTGGAATCCTTTGTTCAGCAAGGGCAATAAAGATGCACTCACAAGGCCTATAAATCTTATACAGAGGTCTCCTACATCCGTGAGTTCTGACACAACCCAGATGGTCTTCACATAAACATCTTCTGCAAGGGAGTGATAAGTAAAAGAGTGATTTGTTGGTGTTTTCCCTCCAACCTTAGTATCTACTTTCACACCATAAAATCTTCAGTTGACACAGCAAGAGGAGATGAGGTTAAAACAAAGGGCATTGCAGAAACAGGGTCCTTTGTATAATATCATCAAAAACAATACTCAGTAAATGCTACCATGGTATCAAAATATCACAACAGAAACACTATCACTTGGCTTGATATCATCCTCCACTTCTGTCTCAGTATTTGATGCAACATTGTTTTCCAATAAATTGATTTGCTTTGGACAAACAGCAGGATTTTGTTCTCTTTGATTTATCCAGTTCTGAATTTCATTTAAAAACACATTTGTGTATTTCATGATACTTGAAAAGCATTCCTCTTGTTTTATTACTTCCTCTGGCACCAAAGACAACACCTCAACATGTGAACTTGAAGCCTTTTCGCACAGTGCCTTTAAATCCACCAAATACTGCTTAATTTGAGAAAGATTTTCATTGTGTTGCATGAGCGCTTTCATTTTTTGTATTAGTCCTTTCATTTTATTAACATATATTTTGCATTCATTTTGTGATTTTTCTATTTTATTCAACAATGCCTTTCCAGTCATTTTTCTTTCTCTCTTTCCCCCCAAATCATTAGAGGAACAATCATCATCACCTGTTTGACTCATGATTTTCCCGTTTGTTTGTTCGATTTTTTATTTATTTATTTATTTTAATCTTCAGTGATCATCCATTAAAACATATATCCACTGGAAGCCACAATAGACTTTGACCATAAAATCCTTTCAACGTAACGGCACTTTAATTGTCCATTTGAACATCATCCAAGCAGCATAATTAATAAGACGCAGCGCAGTCATCAATCCAAGAGCGCAGCCAAAAACATTGCACATTTAACCAACATTCATTCCATTCAGTGTCTCCTCTTAAAACATCTCAGCGCTAATGCAATGTCGCTTCCTTTTCCACAACCAGACATGCACAGGTATTCTTACCTGCGCTCCTCAGAATTGCGTCAGGTGTGTCGGTGCTGCTGGGCTCACTCATTCAGATGCGCTGCACTTACTTGGCGTCTTTCAGGTTCCTTGATCTGATTTCTTTGATCCTGCTTGTGGCTGGCTTCTCCAGAATGCCGTTTTTTGTTGACTAAAGATGTAGCGACTTCCACAGTCGCTAGAGGCCGGGGATGGAGCCTGCCTATTTGCCTGACGCGCTGTCAACTTTACGCAATAATGCGAGAGGTGGAACTGTTTGCTTGTTTATTAAAGTGCTTTGAGAGTTTACAGAGTAATGTCATCGGCTCCTGATTCAGACTCTTAATGGGGACATTTCATTTTCCAGCAGGAAGCTTTTTGTTATAGCCTTTAGATCAGGGGTCGGCAACCTGCGGCTCCGGAGCCTCATGCGGCTCTTTAGTCCTTATAGTGCGGCTCTGCGTGGTTTGGGAAAATAAATTAGTATTTAGCTGAAGTGTATTTTATTTATGCCAGTTCTTTTTTTTTTTACTTGTAGTTCTAAATTGGAAGATTATTGTGATTTTGCAATATACAAATAAAATTATATTTTGTTATTTTTTCATCGCTCAAAATAAGCATCACACTCGCGGAAGCCGGTGTACCCGGCGAAACGCCGTGCATTTATCGAGCCTTTCAACCCCAGATAGGCCAATTATGGCTCTTTGGGTCTTAAAGGTTGCTGACCCCTGCTTTAGATGAACAGAGTTTTTTAATTAAATACATACTCTTTAATAAATGTTCTCTTTTATAAAAAGTAGGATAATTAAAAAAACTTTTATTATACCTCTATTAGAAAAAAAACTGTCTTGTTTTCTGTTGTCTGTTATGTAATATTAGGGATGTTTGTGACAATTAATTTCTTTATCGGCTGGACTAACCAATAGTCCACAACTAGGAAACACTGAAATTTTAAGTTAAGTTTGAAAACAGTTTAAAAAAAAACACCCCATTCCAAAACGTCTTGTGACAATCTCATTGGAGTGATGATGTCATAGAACGTCATAAGTCCTTTGATGTTTTTCCTTAAATAGGGGTGAGAAACAGCAAGTTTTAGTTCGTTTCAGCAGCATCTGTGTTTGCAGCATACAAAACGTTCACCACAGAAACATTTGGAAAGCTCTTCAAAGTCATCGTATAGAAACTCCAACATGTTTCCAAGAAAAAAACAACCAATTCAAAAAGATTACGCCGCCTCTCCTTCCTGGAGTGGCCGGCCGATTTCCCCAAATGGCGTCTCATCCTCCCAAAGGGCATTAGAGGAGAGTAGGAAGGAAAACTACCTTCTCCAGAAAAAAATGCAACAAATTGAAGAAGAAAAACATCAACTGGAGGACAAGTGTAGACGAATGGAAGCCCAAAATAAAGAGCTGGAAGAAAGACAACAGCGCCAGCCGGACATAAACATTATTAATGAGGGCTGGGGAATCAAGTTTGCTCAGGCCCGAGAGCAGATTGTGCACCTCAATAAAGAAAACAGGCAAAAGCGCGCAGAACTAAAAGAAATGACCAACCAGCTCCAAGACAAGAAAACGATGACTGATAAGATACAACGGGATCTCCAACACATGGACCGAAAAAATCAGCTCCTCCAAAGACAGCTCCATGAAGCTGTGGAAGAAAAGAATAAATTCCTCCAACAGAAGGAAGAGCAGGACAAAAAGCAACAAGACATGCAGCACAAACTGAAGAGCATGCAGGAAAAATACCGCATGCTGAAAGAAAGCCTGGATGAAACACTGCGCCAAAATAAAGACCTTCTTCAACAGAAAGAGCAACAGCAGGAAAGACTGAAAGAACGAAAACGCATCGTCCAGGACTTTCAGTCTAAAAATCTAAAACTGCAAGAGTTTTGTAATCAGCTGGTGGACAAAGCAACTAAAGTGGAAGAAGAAAGGGACAAACTGGAGAAACGGTGCTCACAGATGCAGAAAAGGATCGATCAGATAGCGAGAAACAACTCCGAGCTCGTTAAGGGGCGTTTGGTGGAATTCAATAACTTGAAGAGTGAACACACTCAAATGCAGTCACAAAAACAACAAGAAGACAAAATACATGAAGACAAAAATCAAGAAATCAAGAAAAGAAAGAAGCAGTTAAAAGACAAGCACAAAGAGGTCCAACAGAGAAATGCAGACATGCACAAGGACAAGCTGATACAGGAGGCAACATCCAAACAACTCAAAGACAAGCTTGAAGAACAACAAGCAGCATTGGAAGAGATGGAACAAAGATGTGAGAAACTTGAAGAAAAAAAACGCAGAAACCATCGACGAGCTGAGAAATCTCATCCTGCAGAAAAAGCGCTCGTGGAAAAGTGCATGACAAAAAAGAAAAAATGGTTCCACTTGTTCCAGAGGAGAGACGCTACTGCTTCCTCACCTGATGTAGCCTCGTCTTGCTCCACCTCTGTTAACCCCCCCAACCAGTCCCGGCAGTTGACTGTCCCCTCCTGAGCCTGGTTCTGCCGGAGGTTTCTGCCCGTTTAAAGGCAGTTTTTCCTCCCCACTGTCGCCAAGTGCTTGCTCAGAGGGGATTGTTGGGGTTTTCTCTCCTAACTTCTTTCCTTATTTCTTCATTTTACCTTTTTTCTTCATTTACTTGTTTAACTTCTTTCATTATTACTTCATTTTACCTTTTTTCTTCATTTACTTGTTTAACTTCTTTCATTATTACTTCATTTTACCTTGTTTCTTCATTTACTTGTTTAACTTCTTTCATTATTTCTTCATTTTACCTTGTTTCTTCATTTACTTGTTTAACTTCTTTCATTATTACTTCATTTTACCTTGTTTCTTCATTTACTTGTTTAACTTCTTTCATTATTACTTCATTTTACCTTGTTTCTTCATTTACTTGTTTAACTTCTTTCATTATTACTTCATTTTACCTTGTTTCTTCATTTACTTGTTTAACTTCTTTCATTATTACTTCATTTTAACTTGTTTCTTCATTTACTTGTTTAACTTCTTTCATTATTACTTCATTTTACCTTGTTTCTTCATTTACTTGTTTAACTTCTTTCATTATTACTTCATTTTACCTTGTTTCTTCATTTACTTGTTTAACTTCTTTCATTATATCTTCATTTTACCTTTTTTCTTCATTTACTTGTTTAACTTCTTTCATTATTACTTCATTTTACCTTGTTTCTTCATTTACTTGTTTAACTTCTTTCATTATTACTTCATTTTACCTTGTTTCTTCATTTACTTGTTTAACTTCTTTCATTATTACTTCATTTTACCTTGTTTCTTCATTTACTTGTTTAACTTCTTTCATTATTACTTCATTTTACCTTTTTTCTTCATTTACTTGTTTAACTTCTTTCATTATTACTTCATTTTACCTTGTTTCTTCATTTACTTGTTTAACTCTTTCATTATTACTTCATTTTACCTTGTTTCTTCATTTACTTGTTTAACTTCTTTCATTATTACTTCATTTTACCTTGTTTCTTCTTTTACTTGTTCAACTTCTTTCATTATTACTTCATTTTACCTTGTTTCTTCTTTTACTTGTTAAACTTTTTCATTATTACTTCATTTTACCTTGTTTCTTCTTTTACTTGTTTAACTTTTTCATTATTACTTCATTTTACCTTGTTTCTTCCTTTACTTGTTTAACTTTTTCATTATTACTTCATTTTACCTTTTTTCTTCATTTACTTGTTTAACTTCTTTCATTATTACTTCATTTTACCTTGTTTCTTCATTTACTTGTTTAACTTCTTTCATTATTACTTCATTTTACCTTGTTTCTTCATTTACTTGTTTAACTTCTTTCATTATTACTTCATTTTAACTTGTTTCTTCATTTACTTGTTTAACTTCTTTCATTATTACTTCATTTTACCTTGTTTCTTCATTTACTTGTTTAACTTCTTTCATTATTACTTCATTTTACCTTGTTTCTTCATTTACTTGTTTAACTTCTTTCATTATTACTTCATTTTACCTTGTTTCTTCATTTACTTGTTTAACTTCTTTCATTATTACTTCATTTTACCTTGTTTCTTCATTTACTTGTTTAACTTCTTTCATTATTACTTCATTTTACCTTGTTTCTTCATTTACTTGTTTAACTTCTTTCATTATTCTTCATTTACCTTTTTCTTCATTTACTTGTTTAACTTCTTTCATTATTACTTCATTTTACCTTGTTTCTTCTTTACTTGTTTAACTTCTTTCATTATTACTTCATTTTACCTTTTTTCTTCATTTACTTGTTTAACTTCTTTCATTATTACTTCATTTTACCTTGTTTCTTCATTTACTTGTTTAACTTCTTTCATTATTACTTCATTTTACCTCGTTTCTTCATTTACTTGTTTAACTCCTCTCATTATTACTTCATTTTACCTTGTTTCTTCATTTACTTGTTTAACTCCTTTCATTATTACTTCATTTTAACTTGTTTCTTCATTTACTTGTTTAACTTCTTTCATTATTACTTCATTTTACCTTGTTTCTTCTTTTACTTGTTAAACTTTTTCATTATTACTTCATTTTACCTTGTTTCTTCCTTTACTTGCTTGTTATTCTTATCTAAATAATAAACCAATTAAATTTATCCTTTGAGTATTTTTCATCTCATCTTTACAGAATCTTTCCAAAACATTTTCAAACATTCAGATCTGTCTTTTATTTTCTTCTTGAAACCTCATAAATGGTGAACTAAAAACCCGGATTACGGTTTGAAACATAGTTTCAGCTGAAACTGGCATAACATGCTGTGTGTGTGTGTGTGTGTGTGTGTGTGTGTGTGTGTGTGTGTGTGTGTGTGTGTGTGTGTGTGTGTGTGGAGAGAGAGAGAGCTCACAAAATTAGGTGGTGTTCTTCATTGTAATAGGAAAGGTAACATGGGTCCCCACCGTTTCTCAAAGACTTGTTTCTGTAGTCTGAGTATGTAATTTGTTCCATCAGACAGACACTCACTGGATCCATAGATTATATCTGGTTTTAACCATCTGATAGTTATGCATTTTAGGGCTGCAGTGAGTCATATATTTAGCAGGTAACTTTTGGCTTTGCAGTCAATATGTTCTGCAATCCTTCCCAACACTGCTACTGTAGGACTTAGTGGAATATTTACCTTGGAAAATGTCTTTGAGAGCATCAAATATCTGCCTCCAGAATACACAGAGTTTAGGGCAGAGCCACAATATATGAGTGTGGTTGGCAGAGTGTGTCCCACAGTTCCTCCAGCATGAACTCAGATGTGTTGGACCCATCTTAGCAGTTATTTCTGGTGTTCTGTAGAATCTGGTACATTAACGCCCCCTTTATTTTGGGCAAGTGCAGGATTTTGAGTCTAATTCTAGGCCGCTGTTTAGCCTACATGAAGTTAGAAATTCTTCAATACAGCTTGGACTCTCCACCATTTGACCCTTAGAACTGAAGAAGCTTCTCGGATGAGAGGTGAAACGTCTTCAAGTAACTCAAAGAAGTCCAGACGCTTTTCTTAGCAAGCTCCTTAGACTACGATGACCTGGATGACTGAGAACCTTCACAGACTTCTCCACACTTTAAATGCGCTCTAATGATGGGAACGTGTGGTAACATTCAGTCTTAACTGAAATAACATATTGCATCTATAAATGCGATTAAAATGTTTACCAAAGACTAACGTTTTTCATTCAGAACAAACAGCATATTTCAGGTTAGGGCTGCACAACTAGTTTGTCCAATATTAAAATGACAGTTGTTTGTCACAATTATTCACAGATTGTTGTGGCAAAATGTGTTTTGATTGCACTGTCATGTCAGAATACTGCTTTCACCTTTACTTTGTGCTACACTCATGTTAATTAATCTTCATAAATTAATGTTTGCAAACACAAAGTATAAAGTTTTCCACTCTGCTATTTGTACCTGCACAATAGATGTGAATAAAACTCAAACCTATACGAGGCTCCTTCTCTGTTTCCCTGCAACATTTTGTATAGATCTAACTTTTTGCCACATAAATAACCTTCTGATGTGTTTACAGAAAATGTATTTGATAGTAGCTTATTTTGTAACTTTTAGTGGGCCTATGCAATGTTCCCTCTAAGCTGCGCACGTGCGCAATTGCGCACTGCTGGCACAGTCTCTGCGCACAGAAATTCTGCGTTGCGCACCAAAAAAAATCTAACCTGAATTGAAATTAAAATTAATACTTTAACAATTCTGTTTTGCAGTGTTGGTCAGTAAGTGACTGGCTGCTCCCATATGGGAACGATGCCACCTTATCCCATAGTCCAGCCAATAATGCGTATATGCGCAGCCAATCAACGTTGTTGGCAGGCTATGACAGCGTCCTTATGTGCCGACACCAGTGTTTTAGCTGGCAAAGCGGCGTGGCTGATGTGGAGTGAAGCCATGTTAATGACAACGTGTACAACCATTGGAGATGTGAGCAGGACAGACGGAACAATTGACGGAAAAATTGGGGATTTTATACCAGTTTTTAAATTGTGTTGATCAGCCACGTAAAACCAGAGTTATGATAAAAACATCTGCAATGTTTGGTTTTCTTTCTGAATACTATCGTTGTTTATATTTACTGCAGGAAGAAACGGTAAAAACTGCGTTTTATAAGGAAAACACTCGAAAGTGCTCTCCACCTGTGAGCAAAAACAAACCCCACCCCCTCTGCCTTTCCTATTCGTCCAAAAAAGTACCATGTCGACCAATCAAAGAATGATATGGCAACGTGGCGTCTAGTTGTTAAGAAACGGGGGAAGTTTTAGGAGTGATGGCGGTGCTTGAGATGTGAGAGATTTGCAACGTTTAGCGCAAATCTTGTGTAGTTAGTGTGTAGTGTAGTCAATAGTTTGTTGTGTGTGTCAGAACAATGAGGCGACTGCTGAATGTTACAGTGTTACAGGAGTGATGCATCTCCTGCTGTCAGGCCTGCAGGTATCAGGCTGTTGTTCTTTTCCTTTATCTCATAGTGGACAGAAATTATTTTTTGGAGGGGAACAAATAATTTGTGTGGCATCAGATTTGATGCAGAACAGCTGATTGTTCTGTAAATAGTTTGAAATGTTTATTTAAAAACGCCTTGGCTGCATTTAAAAAAAAATAGCTGCAAAAAACTTTGTTTGCCA